GCCAGGTCCTGTTCTAAGCACTTTACTCATATTAACTAATTTAACCCCAACAACAGCCCTGTAAACATAGCTGTAACCTATATTACAGGTAAGAAAACAGCTTCCAAAAGTTAACTTGCCCAAACTCAAAAAAGTAGAAAGCTTTCTTACACACCGACATCTCTATTCCACAAACAAAACCTAACAGGCTCAGTCCCAGGCTGTATTTTTGCTCCGCTTTCATCAGGAGTCCACCCTGGTCGAGCACCTCAGAATAGGAAAGAGACAAAATCAAATGGACAAGTGCCTGAGAAGCAGAGATTTAAAGCTCATCCATTTATCCATGAGCACATTCATTCACAAGTACTTATTCATCCATTCATGAGCGCCTGTTTCATAGCAAACCCTGTACGCAGAGTAGATTCTAAATGTTTATCAGGCCAGGCACAGTGGCTCATGCCTCCAACTACAGCACTTTGACAGGCCAAGACGGGAGGATCACTTCAGGCCAGGAGGTCGAGGCTGCCATGAGCCAAGATCACACCACTGCATTCCAGCATGAGTGACAGAGGGGGAGAGAGAAAGCAAGAGAGAGCACGAGAACAAGAGCATGAGAGTGAAAGAGAGGAAGGAAAGATGGAAGAAAGGGAGGGAGGGAGGAAAGGAAGAAAGAAAGAAACTCAGAAAAATATTTGCATTATATGGGAACCAAAGGGTTAATCAGCTCTTTCAAAAACACAGGAAAAGAACAGTCCAGTTGTAAAAGATGCAACAGATATATAAACAGACAATTCACAGAAATCAAATGACCCTAACAAAATGTTATTTGTTATTTCACTAAATAATTGCAAATTAAAATAATAAAATGGTATTGTGTATCTGTCTTATACAGATTTAAAAACCTCTCACTCCCAGGGTTAGCAAGGGCATACCTTGTTATAAAAGTATTAACTATAAAAACTATATTAGCATGTATATCTACTATGTACCCATAAAAATTAAAAATAAAAAATTCATTAGCTTTTCTGGAGAACAACCTGGCAATACAAGTAAAAATAAATAATGTGGGTCAGGCACAGGGGCTTATGCCTGTAATCACAGTATTTTGGGAGGCCAAGGTAAAAGGACTGCTTAAGCCCAAGAGTTTGAGATGAGCCTGAGCAACATAGAGAGACCCTGTCTCTACAAAAAGTAAAAGAAAATTAGGCGGGTGTGGTAGTGTGCATCCGTAGCTCTAAGTACTCGGGAGACTGACGTGAGAGGACTGCTCAAGCCTGGGAGGTAGAGGCTGCAGTGAGCCAAGATCGCACCACTGCACTTCAGCCTGGTGACATAGTGAGACCCTGTCTCAATCAATCAATTAGCAATATACATAGACTTTGACCCAGAAAATCTACTTCTATGACTATTATCCTAGGAAGATAAAATATTTATATAGATATATAGATACATTTTATGAATAGGCATATGTATAAGAATTTCACTATAGACATTCTTCAGAAATTTTAATTCACTCACCCATTCATCCATGAGCGCATTCATTCACTCCAGCCTGGGCAACAGAGTGACTGAATTTTTTATAGTTGTAAAAGAATAAGAAAAAAATACAAATCCACTGGATAAGAATACATTAAATGTATCTAATCACTAGGATACTATGTATCTGCTAAAAGAGACAAGGTAGAATTCTAACAGTACATTGTTACAAAAAAGAACATATCTGAAACAATACATTGTTACCAAAAAAAAAAAAAAAAACTATAGTAGTATGAATGTGTTGAAAATACTTCATATCAGAATCAACCCAGGGACATCACATGGATAATAGTGAATCCAGGTTATTTTTATATTATTCCCAAAATTTCTAGACCAAATTATCCTAATAGGCCTCCTATTTAGCTCTAAAATTCTTTAATCCTAAGAATTTTTTTTTTTTAAAGACTGTTGTCACAGGCTGGAGTACAGTAGTGTGATCACAGCTCACTGCAGCCTCAACCTTCTGGGCTCAAGTGATCATTCCACCTGAGCCTCCTGAGTAGCAGGGACCAAAGGCACATGCCACCATGCCTGGCTCATGTTTTGCTTTTTTTTTTTTTTTTTTTTTGTAGAGAAGAGGTCTTGCTATGTCACCCAAGGTGTCCTCAAACTCCTGGGCTCAAGCAATCCTCCTGCCTTGGCCTCCCAAACTGTGGGATTACAGGGATGAGTCACGGCACCTGGCCTAATCCTATAAATGTTGCACACCACTGATCTTATATAGAGTGTTATTATTGCAAGGCCACAGTGTGTCTCCTCTCTATGTTTCAGAGCATTTTATCTACTGAAGCAAAATATGAAATCCTAAAAAACGTCCAAAATTTTTATATCTATGTTGTAAATTTAAACTTTTAACACTACACCCTTGATTATCAATGACAATTCATGTGGAATTTATTTATGGAAATCACAAATTATAATAATCTCTTGCCTCAATAATTATATTTTTTAAAAAACTAAGATAATAGAACTTTTTGAACATTGAAAGAGATGAATAACTGCACACTGTGCCATATATGGTACCCTTTATCCAAAAATACCGAGTGTGAATCAAATTCTATTAAAGGGCAGTTATAAACAGCAATGAAGCCCCTTGCCAGTGGGTGAGACTGAAATTTAGAGTCAGAAGACCTGGGAAGAAAAACCATTCTTTTAGCTCCAGAATCCCAAACAATTCAAATCACCTGAAACTCAACGGCCTCCTTTGTAAAAGATAAGTGTGATAAAGGAATTATATAAGGTCGGTAAAAGGAGTGCCCAGGACAAAATAGGTTCTCAATTCCTCGCTTAATAGAAACAGGCGCATCAGTGTTGCATCTGTTAAAGTTATAAAGGATATCTCAACTTACCTACTTTGTTCATCTGAATTTTTGTAACATTGCATACACAACCATTCTATTTTATTTTTATACTATATATTAGAAAGGGGCTTCTTGCTCCCAAAACTCTATTTGTTGGCATAGTCTTTTCCACCGTAAGTATGCAAAAAAGATGTGTTATCTCAGAAACTCAGGGAGAAAGCATACTTACAAAGCACACCCCCAAAACTCCAAGTTGCTCTTCTCTGAGCTCAACGCTCTTCTTAGGCACATATGTCTGTCTCTTATCATTTCTTCATGAGGTTCAGGGCAAAGGGCCTCGTCAAGCAGATGATCTTTGGTTGCTACTACACTTTCCCCAAGCCACCTACAAATAAACAAAACAAGGGGGTAAGACACACCTATAACTTTAAACATTTTTAAATTCTGAAATATGAAAATTAGGTCCCTATGTACATATTATGGCATAACACAGAACAGAGAAAATGTTCCTAGAATCATTCAAAAGCCCAAGTGACCTCACTACAATTCTTCACATCCAAGTACCCAGCCAACATAATGTCACTGGTGACTTCCATCCATGCCTGGTCATCCCTGAGGCTTGCCAGACCATGCTCCAGTGTGAACCGCAGCCCAAGTCTGGCCAAAAGTACTAAGCATGAGCATGTCTATCAGTCAGTAACTAAGGTAATAAAATTAACATGTTAATTCTGAATATGGTGACTCAATTGTACTTCTAAGCCAGCTTAACACTGCTAAAGGAAATATTTTATAAGCTTCCTATATACCCAGTACTACAATTAAATAAATAAGAGTAAAATGCCTTCGGTTGTAGGAAAGAGCTGTAGACAGAAATATTTTCAATTATTTGTGACTGCTTTCAAAGCAATCTGTAGGAATCCACAGGAAGTGATCCAGAGAACTGGGATTTGTCTACATAAAAGGTACATCTGGGATTACATCTGTACACTATTTGGAGAAAGAAAAAAAAATATTTTGAAAAAGTTAATCAAGAAATCAAGACAAACTGTCAAGAAACAGCTCAGAGACCTAGGTTCTGAAATGGCAGACAAGATATGCTGAGAGAATATAGGTACAGTGCACACTTCACTCTTCTAACAAAACAGCCACCATCACCCCTGAAATGAGTCATAGGCACAACCAAATTTATGTGTGCCAATGTGAAACTGTCAAAGCTTTAAACTCATCTGTGCTGGCCAGTACATCAGTCACTAGACACATGGCTACTGAGCTCTAGCTCTGGCCAGGTCAAACTGACATGTACTACACATGTAAAATACACAGTAGACTTTGAAGACTTAAAATATATATTTTTTTAATGTATAGCCAGGCATGGTGGCAGGTGCCTCTAATTCTCAGCTACTCGGTAGGCTAAGGCAGGAGAATTGCTTGAACCCAGGAGGTGGAGGTTGCAGTGAGCCCAAATCACGCCACTGCAGTTCAGCTTGGGCAACAAAGCCAACTCTGACTCAAAAACAAGTAAAAAACTCAATAAGTTTTATATTTACTTCATTGAAAACATTTTTCTATATTGTGCTAAATAAACCATTAAAATTAATTTCACCAGATTCTTTTTACTTTTTTAATGTGGGTACTACAAAATTTAAATTCACCTGTGTGGCTCACACTGTATTAGATAACACTACTCTGCATAATTAACAAAAAATAAAGAACAGATGCTGCCAGGCACTGTGCTAGATATTTTACGGAATACTCAACGCTGCAACTAATGGTCGAGTTTTACCAGACGCCTACATAACAGATTGGCTCCATCAAACCAAAAAGATGCAGCTGGGATTCAATGTCAGGTCATTTTACGAAACAATTCAATTAAGGGGCCGCTAACAGGTAAGGCTGGGGCAACTCCCATAATGGCACAGAAAGAGGGGTCCAGCGTTCCAAAGAGTAGCAAGCTTTCAGTGACTACAGAACAGGTATTATATATATATACATATATATCAAGTTCTACAGGACAGGCAAGGAAATGTCAGACGGTTCTCTGGAGGACCTACCGAATGAGTCCAATCTCCTGGCCCTTAAGGCTTCACAGGTGCTAGCGGTGGAGCAAGGTGCTCCAAAAGAAAGGACAATCAATGTAGCCCAGATTCTCTGGATAATCTGGCCAGGACCTGACCGCTGACACTCCTGCAGACAGAGGGAGGCCTCGGGAGAACGGGCGCGCCGTCTCCCCTCACCTCTGCACACACTCCACCCATCCACGGCCCCACCCCAGATCCCGCGCCGCTCCGAGGTCCCCACCCCTGGGACGAGGGGAAGTGGGACTAAAACGTCCACAGTAAGATGGGGAAGTGGTCGAAAAAGGGAAAACGGGAGGTGGGGGCAGGTACCTGACACGGAGGATGACCCCAGCTCGTTAATGCCGGATCATCGCCTAGGCCCCACCCGGCTCCCGCGGCTACCAGCGACCCAGAAGGTGCAACTGACCAAACGCTGCGACTCAACCGACTCTGCTCTCCCCAGACTGGCAGCTATGGCAACTTGAACTAGCCGCCCAGCCACAACGAGAGTACTGGACCCCGCTGCCGCCGCTTTGCCCTCTGGGAGTTGTAGTCCACCTCGGCTTCACTATCAAGGAGTTACCAAGGAAGAGCGTCCCGGAAAAAAACTGCAAATCCCAGGATGCCATATGGCTGGCCTTCGGGTAACTTTCCCGGAAAAAGCCTGATCCCTCGACCGCGCCCTCTTGCCCTGCTCTATGTTTTTTTAAAGGACCAGCCTCCCCTGTAGGGGGCAAACTCCAGATAGAAAGTGAATAAAAATACTTCCTTACCCTTGACTGTAATTTTACTCCTTGGGGGACAAAAAGAGTCCCCCAGGACTACGGTAAGTTGGGGAAGGGGTAGAAAAAGGGCAAGGGAGCGGTGCGGGGACAGGGAAGGACAATTTCTAGCACTGAAAGGTAAAAATCTCCTTAATACCAGGGTCCAGCATATTGTTCCAAAGACTCACAAATTCTTGTAACCGGAAGGGAGCAGAGAAGATTATGTGGTCCAACCTGTTTGGCGTTGAAAGAGTAAGGGACTTGCCTAAAAGCATATGGCTCATTCAGGGCACAGCAAAAGTAGATGTGAGGCTGTCAGCTATTGACTGCTACTACTTCAGTCTAGGTGTCATCTCCTCACTTTAGAACATCAAAGAAATGTTTTGTACTGAGGGGAGTTGGTTTCAGTCACGAAGAGAATGAAAACCTCAATAAAAAACTGAACTTTGGAAAAGCTAAGAAGTAACAAATTAGTCATGCGAATTGCCCTTTTCTTCTCTGCCAAAAAGACCACTTCCCCTTCCTTCTTTGAGGCTAAAATCAAATATTATCTGATCTGCCAAAGCTTCCCTGGCTACGTGAAGAAGAGTTAGATCATGTTAAATAACAAGGGTTCCCTAATCTAACAATTTTGTACTCTATAATCCATTTCCCAGTTGGTCCCTTCTATTGGCCCTTCAAAGGGACCTAACCTTTTTAAATGTTTATCTTTCTTCTCACCCTTTCCTCACTTGCCCTTCTCTGTTCATCTCTCTCTCACTGTCTCTCTCTCTCCCTTTCTCTCCTTCCCTCCCTCCTTATCCCACTCCCGCCACCCCCCCCACACACACACACAGGCAGAGTCATAAATAATTAGCACATAAAGTTGATATAGTAGAATTATTCAAATATCTTTTCTGGCCAACACTGAAACATAAAACTATCTCATTGGTTTGAACATAAAATAATTCTAAAAACCTTCTATGCATTTGCAGCTGTCTTCAAGCTGCTTCCTTGAAATTGTTCCTCAAGAATACATTCCACTGGACACAGAGTTTAAGATAATTCAGAACAGCCATAAAATTGCCCATATGCATGTAGAAGCATAACTCTTTGTTAACATTTTAACTTTCAAAACAATTCATTCATATAATTCAGCAAATGTATGCTGGATATTTCTTATGATCCAGACATTGTTTTAGACACTAAAGGTGCAGTATGATAACAAGGAAATAAACAACATAGATCTTGCTTTCAAATTGTTCAGAACCACGTGAGAGAAAAAGGCTAATAAATGATTACAAATCTCTGTGTAATAGAATACTACATAGGTTTCTATGGAAAGCCAAAAAAGAGAAACTTTCTGAAGAAGTGATAATCAGATCAACTGCAGGAGAAATGCCAACTGAAAGAACTAATGTAATCATGAGTTACATTAATAAAAACTGATTGTCCAAAGCCTGTATTCCCTGGTTTAACCATATTTAGAGAATTTGATTCAATTTTAGAGGCCTTATTTTGTAGAGTGATATTAACCAAATAAATAAAAAATCTCAGGACACAACTGGGACCAAAGGGTTAAAAATCAGATATTTTAGTTCATTTTGATCAATAAATGCTTAAATATATTATTGAATTTATAGCAACTGTTTATCATGTGGTATGCTCTCAATTGGGAAGCTGTGGCATCCCAAAAAAATGTAGTGAAGTCACATCACTGAATCTTCTCTTGTCTTTGTCTTGACAAAACAGACAAAATGAGTTAAAGCCAACAAAATAGGTTTTACATAAAATTGTCTCATAACTCCCAAAGATATGTATTACTTTTAATCACTATGGCCAACAGACATTATACAAACACAGCACCATACTCAAGCAGACTCATCTGAGTTTAGATTTGGAAAAATCCACAAAGAGTATTGATATGGTCTGGCTCTGTGTCCCCACCCAAATCTCATCTTGAATTGTAATCTGAGTTGTAATCCCCATACGTTGGAGAAGGAACCTTGTGACGGGTGATTAGATCATGTGGCAGTTCCTCCATGTTGTTCTCATGATAGTGAGTGAGTTCTCAGGAGATCTGATGGTTTTATAAGGGGCTTTTGCCCACTTCTTTCTACTGCCACCATGTGAAAAAAGGAGGTGTGTTTTCTCCCTCTTCTGCCATGATTGTAAGTTTCCTGAGGCTTCCCCAGCCATGTACAACTGTGAGTCAATTAAACCACTTTCCTTTATAAATCACCCAGTCACAGGTAGTTCTTTATAGCAGTGTCATAACGAACTAATATGAATATCATTTGCAGTACCCTCCTTTTGCAAACCATGATAAGTAGGGGCACACAGAGATTATATGATGTATTAGTTTACTATGGATTTGATAAAATACCACAGAATGTGTGACTTAAACAACAAAAATTTATTTCTCACAGTTCTGAAGGCTGTAAGTCCAAGATCAAGGTGTCAGCAAGTTTGGGTTCTCCTAAGGTCTCTGTCTTTGGCTTGCAGATGTCCATCTTTTCTCTGTATCCTCAAATAGGCTTTTTCCTGTATGAGCACATACATGGTTTCTCTCTCTTCTTACAATGACCTCCATTATGTTGAATTAGAACTTCATATGTGGCCTAATTTAACCTTAACTACCTCCTTAAAGGCCCAATTTTCAAAAACAGTAACATTGGGGTTAAGGTTTCAACACATTTTCCCCCAAATTGTACCTATTCAGGATTAGTGTCATCAATGATCTTCTCATTACATAATACCTTGACAAAGGTAGATGCGGGAGATATTTTTGACATGCCTCACCCACATAACCCCTTAACTGGGAATGATTCTACCCACAGTGTTGGCCCCACCAGCCTAGGTTATGATATACAAAGTTTCTACCTGTCTCACCATGGTGGATTAGACAAGGAGTAGACAGATACCTGAGACAATATGGGCCAGTCAGGCTCTTTATCATTTGAGAATCTAAAATTAGGACTCAAGCTCCCAATTGCTTACCAGAATAGTCTTGATGTACAGGTAAGAGCTGAGGTCATCACAAAGAGGTGGACATCTTCATCTGTGTTCAAGAGGCAGCTGATAATGCTAACCTGCAGAGACACAGAAGTAAGTAAAACAGTGAGAGGAAATAAACTACACAGCCATGAGGAAATAAGCCCAAGAGAATACAGCCCTGGTTCCTGACAACTTCCAAGTTCCTGGATCCAAGCCTTGTTATTCCCACTTGCATTTCCTGGGCTTGCTTTCTACAATACACTTAGAGGCAACTGGAGGTGGTTAAATGCACAGATTCTGGACCCAAACCACTTGGATTCAAGTCAGTTATAATATCTATCAGCAATGTCACTTCAAACAAGTTACTTAATCACTCTGTGCCTTCATTTTTTCCTTTTCTAAATGCGAACAATAAAAATAGTACTTCATGTGTAGAGTTGTTTGGTAAATAAATAAATGTGTGTAAAGCACTAAACCTAGTGCCAAATTCATGGTAAGTATTATTGAATGTAAGCTAACATTATATGTAAGCTGACAAATACTATGACATCCTCAAAATGTTAGTTCCAGGAATATTGGTAGTCTATTATTTTGTTCTAGACACTTACAAATAATATATTAATAGCTTGTTGCCTCGTGATGATTTCCCTTTTGAGGCGTAAGATTAGTTCTGTTGATTGAAATCTAAAGAGCCTTGACTAAGATTACATTAATGAGATCACCAGCCTGTAAGATCCAAGATGTTAATTCTAGATCTAGTTTCTTGAGCAATTTCATCGGAAACACTTTTGAACTATATGAAACATTAAATGCCTAGATGAACTAATCAATAAAGACGTTCTGGAATGGGGCTAGCCTAAAAGCATTGACATGAGCATACTAACCCAACTCATGTAGAATGAATAATGTAGAGAAGGGAAGACATCTATTATGTAAGAAGCTGTGGATGGCAAACAGAGGTAGTACTGTTTCAATGAGAAGGGACAGAAGTTGTATTTCACCAATAACTTGCAAATTTATAAAACTGTGAAACAACAACAGCTGATATAGTTTGGCTCTGTGTCCCCTTCCAAATGCCACATGGAATTGCAACCCCTAATGTTGGGGGTGGGACTTAGTGAGAGGTGATTGGATCATGGAAGTGGATTTCCCCCTTGTTGTTCTCATAATAGTGAGTGAGTTCTCACAGGATCTTTTGTTTGAAAGTGTGTAGTACTTCCCCCTTCATTCTTTCTCCCACTCTGCCATGTAAAAAAGGTGTTTGCTTCCTCTTCACCTTTCGAAGCACCATGATTGTAAGTTTCCTGAGGCCTCTCCATCCATGCTTCCTGTACAGTGGAACTATGAGTCAATTAAACCTCTGTTCTTCATAAATTACCCAGTCTCAGGTGGTTCTTTATAGCAGTGTGAGAATGGACTGATACAACAACAGACACAAAAATGTATTTGGAATACTAACCAAAATTTTCCTCAAATATGAATTTTTTTCACCTTTGTTCTCCCCTTATCTCCATTTCTGCCAGCCACACTGTTCTACACTCACTGCCTTAAAGATGGGATGTTACCACAGAAAGCACAAATGGAGAGGAGTTGAGGAAGAAAAAGAAGAAGAAAATAAAGCATTTTCCTCCTGGCTTTTGAATACTCAACATAAACATCTTCAGATAGGACAGGCTGTGTAATTTGTTGTAGGACCCTGTGCAAAATGAGTATGTTAAGCCCTTTTGCAAATGAGTATATTAAGCCCTTTTATGACTCCTGCTGTCAAAAGGAGTTATGCTATAAACAAATGACTTGGAAGAAAATATCTAAAGAAAAGAAAGAGATTTCCCCCAAAAGAAAAGAAGTTCCTGACTGGGAATGTGATAATAGAAAAGAAGGGGGTCCTGGAAAGGGAGAAATAGAAGGTTGGGGAGGCAGACCTGCAGGCATAGGGAGAAAGTCTATGTTGACAGAGTGCCCAGCCTCCACTCAAGCAAGCACTGTTCATAGCCTGAAGCTAGCTGTTCTGCCCATAGGCATCAGAGGAGGGTGTTACTGCAAAAGTAGCCTGCATTGTTCTTGGTGACCACCTGCATCATTGGATGTTGCTCTGTTCCCTCTAGCCGCCACAGATGGTCAAGCTCCCTTGTAGTATCACTACACAATTATAAGTCATAAGAAAGAAGACATCAAGTATGATGTTACAGGTAAAAAAAAAAAAAAAATGGATATCCCCCAAAGCTTGCTTAGGCGGGACTAAATGGAACTACTCAAAATTATCTCTCAATCATTCAGTGGTGAAATTCACCTCTTTACATCTGCAGAAAACAATTGTAAATGGTTGTTGACTCTTTCTACATCAAGTTTGCAAGTTACCTTCAAGTCTAAGAAGAGTCAACATGAAAAAAACAAGATATTGCAAGGATGATATTGCCCACTACTCAAAGAATCATCTTTAGCCATTCATTGTGTTGAAGCACTGTTGATTCCATGAAGTTCTTTTCAGCCACACACTTACTATTTATAGGTAATTATCACTGCCAAGAGCATCACAGATATAAAGCACAGCAATTCTTATGCATTTAGATCAAAGTGAGTCACTATTAATGTATGAAACAAAAATCGTAAAACATTTCTGTAGTTAAGCAATATAGCTAATCAATAAAGAGGTTCTGGAATGGAGCTAGTGGAACGCTCCACTTTAATGGCTACTTTTTGAAAAAAGATAAAACACACAGAGGCCTGAATTGCCAAATACCACTTTCTAATATTTGAACCATGCTAATAAGTCCTCTACAAGAAGGAAAAAGTAGTGTTCTATAGCCATTCTCGTTCATTTGTTACCTTTAAAATGATTTTGTGTGTGTGTTTAATGGATCCGAGTGCATTTTTCTCTTTATTTAACCTAATCATAAAGATTGATCATCATCTTATCTCATGTGTTTATTTGCCCCATTTTAAAAGTTATGCTAAAGAAAGAAAATTGTCTTATTAATTGTCATAGCAATTTGTTGAGCAGACTATTAGAACATTGTTAGTCCTAAGGCATGTTCCAATTTGCTGAACTGAAACTGGGTATGCATAAGAGTTTTTGCCTACATTATAATTGCCACTAAGCCAATTCATGCTGTCTGAATCTTGATGTAAAGTGTTATAAGTTTTGGCATACCACTTTTGTTCTGAGCAAAGGTGGAGTAACAGAGATCAGATTTACCCTTCAACCAGAACTATACCAAAAAAAGCAGGCAAGATATATGAAGCAATGCTTTTCAAGGCAGTGGTTATCATACCAAGAAGGACCATGATCCCTAAGAGACAGGAAACAAATAAAGAAAGCCTTATGATTACCACAACTTACTGCCTTGAGAGAGTTTCCAGATCATAGAGCAAGGAGAGGAAACCCAGGCAGAACCCAGTGGATGCTTTAAACTGGGGAGACAAAGCTGAGAATCTGAGAAGATGCAGGTGGGTGAAGTTTGCAGGACAAACTATAGGAGGGAGAGAGCTATGTAGAGATAAAACTTCAGAAAACTATAAAGGGTATCCATGGAAGATTCAGCAGAATACTAATCATTACACACATGTGAAAAAAATGAGGCTGGAGAAAAAAGCAACCAGCAAGATTGGAGGTAAAATTGCCTGTTGCCCACAGGGTACCAGGAATAGTGACTCTTCCCACCAGCCAGATTTGAAATACCTCATAATTCATGGAGCACTGGGTATAGTAATCAGAAGGGTCTTGCCTCAGGAATGAGTAATAACTAGCCCTAGATTATATGTGTGTTAGTCCCACCTAACAAAACTTAAAACCAAGATCTACAAATCCCAAATTGTTTCAAAGTAATTTACATCTGACAACAAATCTCAAGAATATTTAATGAATGCAAAAATCCAGTGTCAAAAAGGGTAACATTTACAATATCTGCCATCCAAACAAAAATTATCAGGCAAGAAACAGAAAAGAAATTATAAAAGAAACAGAAAAATACAACCCATTTTGAGGACAGAAAACAACCAATCTAAACTGACCCAAAATTGACAAAAATATATATATTTGAATTATCAAACAAGGACACTGTTGAGTTTTGATCCCCAAAAAGATATCTTGAAATTCTAACACCCAGTACCTGTGAATGTGACCTTATTTGGGAATAGCATCTTTACAGATATTTAAATTAACTTGAGGTTATAATGGATTAGCATGGATCCAAATACAATGACTGATGTCCTTATAGGAAGAGGGAAATTTGAATGCAGAGACACACAAAAAGAACACCTGATGGTGACAGAGGAGAAATTGCAGTGATATAATCCAAGGGATGTCAAGGATTCCCAGCAACCACTAGAAACTCGGAATAGTCAAGGAGACATCCACCCACAAAGCCCTCAGAGGAAGTTTGCCCTACCCACACCTTAATTTTATTCTTCTAGTCTCCAGAACTGTGAACAAATTCATTTATCTTATTTTAAACCACCAAGTTTGTGGTACTTTGTTACAGCAGCCCTAGGAAACTAATATAGATATCAAAGTGATCATTATGTTTTAAATGTTCAAAAAGTATTATATAAAGAGACAAGGAAAATATTCTCTAAAAGCCCCAAATTGAATTTCTGGAGATGGAAATCTAATTTATGAGATAAAAAATACATTAGATGGGATTAGTGGAAGATTAAATATTATAAGAGGACAGAAAAAAGAATACTGAATTTAGAGACATAGCAAAAGAAACTATCCATAATCAAAAACAAAAAGAAAAATAATTTTTTACTGAGAAAAGCATCAATATTCTCTTTGTGAGATAATGTTAATTAGCCTAATAAGTGCAATAATTGGAATACTCAAAAGAGAGGAAAGAGATAAACAAAATATATATATACAGAAATGGAGAAACAATGGCTGAAAAATTTCTGAAGTTTGATGAAAACCATAAACACACAAATCCAAGGATCTCAAAATACCCCAAGCACAGGAGACATGAAGAAAAGTATATCAAGGCACGTTACAGTCAAATTGCTCTCAACCAATGACAAAGTCTGAAAAGTAGCCTGAGTAAGGGAAAAACAAAAGCATACTATAAAGAAGCAAAAAAACTTTGACATCAGATTTGTCCTTCTAAACAATGCAAGCAACAAGAAAATGAAGCAATATTTTTAAAGTACTGAAAGTTAAAAATAATGTCAATCTATGATTCTACCCCTAGGAATGATATCCTTTTTTAAAAAGAAGACAAAATTAATACTTGTTTAGACACACAAAAGCTGAAATAATTTATAACCAGCAGATATGTATGACAAAAAAAATTAATGAAAGCCATCCAAGCAACAGGAAAGCGACAGCAGTGGAAAATATGGATCAATACTAAGGAATGAGAAAGACCGGAAGTGGTAACTGTCTTATTATTTGAATCTCTTTAAAACATAATAACACTGTATTGCAGGATTTATAACCTATGTATGAGTAAAATGTATGGCAACAGAAGCATAAAGGTTAGACAGGGAAGGAGAAATGGAATATAAACAAGCATGGTGTTGAAGGGTTCTTTTAAACCATGTGTAAATTGGTATACTATCAACTGAATATAGACTATGATAACTTGAAGGTACATGCTATAAACCTCAAAGCAATGAGTATAATAACCAGAGTTATAGCTACGATTCAGCAAAGATCATTAAACTGAATCATAAAAATTTCTTAATTAATATAAGCATATGTTTAAAATAAAAGGAGAATTGGATCAAAGAACAGTGGGGGAAATAGAAAACTAACAGCAAGATTATCTGCTTAAACCTAATGTGAATGATGACATTAAATGTAAATGATCTTTAAAACCCAAACAAAAGGCAGAGATTGTAAGACTGAAAGCAAGGCCCAACTCTATGCTGTTTATAAGAACTACACGTTAAATATAAAAACACAGAGAGGTTAAAGTATGAAAAAAAGCATACAATGATAACGCCGATCAAAAGAAAGTTGCATTGGCTCTATCAGTAACAGAAAAGTAGATTAAAGAGCAAAGGCTTTCACAAGGTATAAAGAAAGCCATTGAATAACAATGAAGGGAACAAGAAAATAAAAGTCCTAACCACCTATTTACCAAATAATAGAACTTCAAAATACATGAGCTTCAAATTACATGAAGAAAAAACTGATAAAAATGCAATGAGGGGAAAAAATCCAAATCTCCAATTGTAGTAAAAAAGTTCAGTACCCATAGCTCAACAACTGATATAACAAGTAGACTTTAAACTTAGCAAAAATACATCAGACTTAAACAACACTTTCAACAACTTGACCTAAAGTCATCTGTAGAACACACAACTCCACAAAAGCTGATCACACATTTTTTTCAAGTACACACTGAACATTTTAGCAAGATTGACCATATTAAGAATCATAAAATGAGTCTCATTAAATTTCAAAGTGTTCAAGTTATACAAACTATTTTCCCTGCATAAAATGTAATTTAGAAATTAATAACAGAATAATATCAGTGAATTCCTCAAATATTTGGAAACTAACATGCTTCTAAAGAATCCACAAATCAAGGAAGATATCTAAAAGAAAAATTAAAATATTTTAAACGGAGTGAGAATGAAATTTCAAGATATCAAAATCTGAAAGATGTCTCTAAAGTAGTATACGGCAAGTCTACAGCACTATAAACATACAATATTATAGAAGAAAAATGGTCTCACACCAGTGACCTCAGTCTTAAGAAACCTCTCCTTAAGAAATAAAGAAGAGCAATTAAACCCCAGGTAGGCAGAATAATAAAATATTAAAGAGCAGAGCATATATCATTGAAATAGAACATGAAAATATAATAGAGAATCTAAGAAACAAGAATTTCCTTCTTTGAGAATATTAATAAACCTCTGGATAAAGTACTTAGGAGAAAAAGAAGACACAAATTACCAAAATCAGGCATAACAAGGTTGACATTAGGATAGATTATATAAATATAAGATGACAATTCATTATATGACACAAACTGCTCAAGAAGAATTATACTACTTGAATAGCCCTATATCTATGTTTAGAAATTGGATTTATAGTTAAAAACCTTCCAATAAGGAAAATGCAAGGTTTCAACAGCTTCCCTGGTGACTCCTACCAAATAAGTAACAAAGAAATAATACCAGTTCTATAGCAACTCCTATAGAAATTTGAAGAGGAAGGACTATTTCCCAATTTACCCTGTGATGGAGGACTTAATTGCCCTGATAGCAAAATTTGACCAAGAAGCTACAGAAAAGAAAACAACAGATTACTATCCCTTGTGAACATCTATGTAAAACTTTTAAACAGAATTTTAGCAAATCTAATTAAAGAGTATATTAAAAAGATGATAAATACATCATGATCAAGTGAGATTTATCCCTGTAATGTAAGGTGGATTTAACATTCAAAACTCAATCACTATGATTCACCGCATTAACAACCATGGAACCATCACCACAAGCAAGATTTAAAACAGTTTTATTACCCATAATATTCTCTGGTGTTCACTTGTAGTCAGCCTTTCCTCTGAACCCCAGGCCTTTAAAACCACTGATCTTTTTCCCGTTCCTATAGTTTTGCCTTTCTGAGAATGTTATATAAATGAATCATTAATATGAATAATTACATGTAAATGCGTAATATTTTGAATTTGGCTTCTTTCACTTAACATTATGTGTTCAAGATTTGTTCTGTAACAATGTCATGGTGATTAAAAACAACAACAAAAAGATTTGTGTATGTTGTATCAGCGATTCATTCATTTTTATTGCAGAATAGTATTCCAATGTGGAGGTATCAGAGTTTGTTTATCCATTATCTAGTTGAGAGACATTTAGTTCGTTTAGTGGTTATGAATAAAGCTTCTGTAAAATTTGGAATTCTCATATTTTAAGTGTACAGTTTAATGAGGTTTGATAAATGTATACATCCACTTAACCTCCAGCCTAATTAAGGTATAGAAACCCAGTGTATTCCCTCCTGTCTTTCTCCAGTCAATCTTTCTTATTCTTTTTTTCTGATTTCCATCACCACAGCCTTTTCCTTCCTGCCTTAGCCAAGTTCATGTAAAAGGAATTATGCAGAATAGAAAGAATCGGCATTCCTTTTATCCCAAGAGGAATAAGCAAGCAATTGAAGACTTTTAAGAAGGAAATAGGCACAATCTGATTTATGTTTGTAATGACTTTTTTTGGCCACTGTGCAAAAAATGGTGAGTGTGCCACTTAAGTATTATTTTTCTTCCCATGTTCTAGAGGGAATATGGCTCAATAAAATTCCTGGACCGACCAGAATTTCCACTCTGAACCCATTCAGGGAGCCTGGAACTGTTTCTGCCATTCCCGATTCTTCCCAGCAGATGGCCCCAAAGTCCAGTTCCTGAATTGCCTCGTGGAGCCGCGGGCTGCAGGGTGAGGCTGCGGCTGCCAGTTGATCTCCAGCACGCGCTTGGCCGCTGGAGCTGGGCAGCAGCGGGGATCCGCCAGAGGTGCGGGCGACGGCTTCAGCTGCACCGCGGGCTGGCCAGGGCTGCGCGCCCGCCTCCGACTCTCAGCAAAAATGTCTCTGGCCAGGAGGAGCTGAAGTTCTGCAGGACATTGGTCCGCCCGGGGACGGTCCACTCCGCGGGGACTTTGGATAAGGAGTGCGTGCGAGTGGGCACCACGCAGACAGGGTGTTAGAAGGCTACACGCGGGGGATGATGGCACCTTGGAATTAAAGACGAGGAAAGGAGGGGGCATCTAAACTAGGCTTTGGAGAGAACTAATGGGAGGAGCGCGGGGGATCGGGCTGGAAAACAGAGGGGACAGCCAGGACGGGTGTTGGGTGTCAGGGAACAGACGGAGCGGACTGCGTGGGTCCAGCCAAGGAGAGTGCAGCAAGCAGGCTTGTTTGGGTCGAGGTTGCCTAGGGAAGCGGAGCACTTAAGTGCCTCTTCTTTCCCTTCTCCAGCCTCCTCTACAGTGGTGAGGTCACACCCCTTGGAACCCTCCCTCTTCCCACCCCTCCCACTCCCGGGTCTCCTTTGGCCTGGGGTAACCCGAGGTGCAGAGGACCGAGAATGAGGCGATTGCGGAGGATGGAGAAATAGCCCCAGGTCCGGTGGAAAATGAGGCCGGCGGACCTGCTGCAGCTGGTGCTGCTGCTCTCCCTGCCCAGGGGCCTGGGCGGAAAGGGGTGTTCGTCTCCACGCTGCGAGTGCCATCAGGAGGAGGACTTCAGAGTCACCTGCAAGGATATTCAACGCATCCCCAGCTTACCGCCCAGTACGCAGACTCTGTGAGTACCCGGGAGAGGTCAGGGTAGGACCCAGAGACAAAGGGCACCTGCAGAGGTGGACCGAAGTGCACAAAAGCAGCTCAAGAACAGCTCGAAGGTGTGTGTGGGGGAAGGTGGGAAGGGGGGTGTGTGCGCGCGCGCGCTGAAAACTCAGTCACCTACACTTGGGAAGGTATCATTGTTGACATCCTCGTTACTCCTAATACAGGAAAAGGTTACAAAACTTTGGTGTACAATGACAGCAAGACTTGTTCTTTCCAAAAAGCTGCTATTCTGCACTTTGCCTAACCCTGGTTAAATCTGTTTTATTTGAATTAATAAGGATAATGGCAACTCAGGAACGGACCCTTTTGAGCTTATCTTGGGTAATAAAAAAAATTGCAAAACTATGTATTTCTTCTTTTTGTTTTTCTAGATGGGAGGTTATCTTGGCAGTTCTGCTGATTCATCAAATTGTTGACGAAAGTTTAGTCAGGGCCCCTTTTTAAAATGAACTATCTGTACAGTATGTGTAAGTTACTTACTCAAATGTCAACTGCCAGTAAATAGGGCATCCAGAACCCTGCTTTGTGATAGCCATGGTAGAGGTATAAAGAAATGAAATTTCATAAAAGCATAGTACATTTATCTGCATGTTAAATGTTACCAAATTAGAAACCTGATGTTAAATAAGATTGTCCACACACAATCTGCTTCTTAACAGCAATTTAAATCGGTGACCATTGAAATTGTAGACAAAACCAAGGGAATTAAGTCTTTCTTGATTGGTTAAAAATAGAACAGAAAGAAAGGATAGTAAAACAACCTGGGCTAGCTAAATCCAGTTAAGGCAAGAAAGTGCAGGTTATTAAAGAAAATGTTGACAGATGAAAAGAAATGGGAAAGTTGCACTTCTAGATTTTCTCAAGAATTTAACGGTATTTGATGAATACGCTATTTAATGGTAGATGATTAATATTTCAGCTCAGATATGTATTTCTTTGCTCTGAGATACCCTCCTTTCTTAGCACACCTGAATTAATTAGTTCAGTAACCTCCAAACAGTGTGGTAGTCATTCTCCTTGCTGCTACCATAGAATAAAACGTGTAAAAGGTGTGATACCCTCTTGATTACACCTCTACATGGGTTGCTTGTCACAGCTAGAATAAAATATTTTTGTGCAGCCTACCAGATCTTACAAGACCTAGTCAAGTCTTTCCAACCTCATTGCTCCTAATTTCTCTAACTTCACCCTCCGACTGAAAAGAACTTCTGGCACTTCCCCAAAGTTCCCTGCTATTACCGCTGTCCTTGCTGTCCTTCCCACATTCTGGCCCCTCTGCCTAAAGCACATTTGCCCCTTGTCTTCGTCTGGCTAATGCCTAGTCCCAGATCCAGATTCTGGATCAACCCGGCAGGAAGCTTCTCCTGACCTATGACCCTCAGGCTGGGTGAGGTATATCCTCCTTCCCAAAAGCGTTCTCTGCTTATCCCTTAGGCATTGTTTGCTTTCTTGTAACTTGTTATTTATTTGCATGCCCACACAACCAGGACACAAGCTTCTCTAACACGGGGACACTGTCATTCAACCCTGAATTCCTGAAACCCTCAAACTACTTAGACACTCAAAAAAAAGCTTAAGTGAATGAATGAACACATGAGTATGCCGGGTCTCTGGATGTCCACTGTGTGTTGGGGAGAAGTAAATCCAAAGACATCCCTTCATCAGAGACTTCTTTAACAGGGGCAGAAATTCAAGTCATTGAAGAGAGAGGTAGCTCTGACAGTGCAAAGAAACCAGAGACGTCCTGTTTAAAATGCCACCAAAAGTTGAGAAAGAAAGGGTAATGGAGAATGAGCAATGGAACAAGAGTCAGGAAACCAGCAGTCTCCTCAGTCCTTCTTTATTAACTGTGAAACTGTGTAAGATGACTGCTTGGAAGGAGCCAAGTTTCCTTCTGGGTAAAAGAGAAGGTTCAACTAGGTACTTTCTAGGTGATGACATGACACTGATGAGAATAGCCTGAGGGAAGGCACTGAATCACAAGAAGTCATTGAGTAAAGACAGCGGCAAGGAGGATCTGACCTTGAGAATAATGGGGAGTGAGGTTTTATGTTCTGAAGAACAAAGTTATTCTGAGATGGAAAAGAGAAACTTGATGAAAAGTATGGGTAGAACAATATGGTAGTCTCTTTTGAACAATAGCTACAACCATCTGCAACAGTAGAAAAATTTTCAACTCTTTTGGGGGTAGTAGAACTCTTGCCCCTCCCCCCCAAAAAAAGCATATGAGAAAAGCAAAACATGTAAAGCTAACAATTATATTGTGTTTACTTATGGGGGAGTCCTGTTCTCAGCATGTTGCAAGAACTCACCCAATGAATCCTCACCAAATCCAGTTAAGTAGGTGATGTTATTATCCTCATTTATAGATGAAGACATTGAGGCAAAAAAATTTAAAAAAATGAAGTAATCTGCTCAATGTTGCACAGCTCGTAAGTAGTAAAGTCAGGATTTGAAATATCATATCATCAGCTATGGAGCCTGCACCCATAAACCACCACTTGCAGATGAAAAGTGTGTCTCACCATACCAGTTTCCCCTGATGGTCGTAAGCTCTGGAGAAAAAAGTCTGAAAACAAGTCATGTCCAATAAACCAACAGATAACCTTGGGGGCTATTCGTCAGATGCAAGAACTCAGAAAGCAGGAGGTTAGCAGTGAAAGGAAAGAAGAAGGGAAGGAAGAAAGAGAGGGAAGGAGGAAAAGAAAGACCGTATCTAAGTTATGGAAGGTATTCCCTGCTGGAACGAACTAAATCTTTGTCATTAAAAAGCCATTCTGGGTGGCAGCCCCTTTTTGGTCTACTTAAATTATACAGGATCTACTGCTGGGGCATGTTCCCTCACAAGTTTTATATTATTCAGAATGTACCTCTTTTTAAAGTTTTTGAAGAGCTCACACAGGGTTTAAAGGTAAGGTATTTTGTTCTTGTAGAGTTATTTGCATTACTTCTGCAACCTTCGTCAAGATTGCTGTATAACCACTTCTAAGACATTTTACGAATTATTATGGTGCCGGGAACAACTCTTTCTAAAGCTTATCTTCTACTCATAGACTTACTCATAGACTATTGTTCTGAAAGGCAAACAGCTCTCTTGCCCTACTACCCATATCCCAGCCCCGTGGTCTTATGGATGGAGGGGAGACAGTTACAGACTGTGGCCCTCACTGAAGAAGTGATGCTGTGTCTTTTCCTCAATCCTCTCCTCCAGAAGGGCATGATGCACTTTCATTGGTTTTACCTGAGTGGAAGGTGAGGGAGAGCTGGGATGCCTGCTTCTGCCACCACCAGTGGAACATTCTAGATTCTTTGCTATGTAGGCAGTTTGAAAAAAAAAATCACTCTCTTCAATTGAAAATTACTGATTTAAGAAAACTTAAATGAGGCAAGAGAATAAAATTTAAAATTTAAATGTTGGCATATAATTATAGATCGTATCATCTCAAAACCAAGGATAACAAGATTGACCCATCACTCTCTCTTACTCAGAAAGTTGCCATTTGTTGCTTCTGTGCATGAGAAGATCCTTCCTTCCCTGAAGGAGGAGGTAGACAGGATTTGACAACCATTCTTTGTTTGTGTGGATTCTTCCTCAAGAGAGTGCTGACATGCCTTACTGTGTTCGTTTAACCTACCTGCTTTCCGTTTAATCATGATAATTTCCACCTCTGCCTTCTCCAACCTCACTGCTGTCTTTGGTCTTGAGTCTCAAAGAAGTAAGTGGTTTGTTCACATGCATGCCTTCAGATATGTTTCTGAAGGACTTGTTGTTTTCAGGTTCTGTTTTTAGTCATTTGCATTCTGTATCTGTGGCTCTAATTGATGGACTCTCTCAGTGTTTACTAAACTGAAGACAATCGTTCACCATCTTTGGCTTTTGTGCCCTGTATTCCATCTGTGCTGTTATTTACTCAGTATTTTTAAGTTGACTCACTTCTCTAACTGAAATAAATTTAGAATGGTTACAAGTAGAAAATTAGCATGGCTTGGCATAAATAAGAGGTAATAGAAAACTAAAGACAGCAACAACAAAAATATAATTAAATTCTAGCTAGAGACTATTGTCTGAATATACTGAACCTACAGCTGCCTTCTCTTGGTTAAAAAGGGAGCCAACAAAGTGTTAATAAGTAGTAAAGAGGTAGCAATCTGGCATGGTGTCCCCTGTCATATTGAAAGGATGGATAGACAACAGAAAAAGGAATTAATTTCTCACTGTGTGATTCGGTGTTATTTAATGCCAGGTGGGCACTCCACCTAAAATAATCTCATGTATCTCCAAGTCATCTTTGTTCCACACTTAAAGAAATGTGGATGTTTTGTATATTTCACAATGGTTTTAGTCACAATCGGTGGTTGTAATGTGAATAACAATTGTTTCCAACCTAAAGAGAAGCCCTCCGCCTCTACACCCCCGTGCTCCCCAAACACGGCCCCACACTTGTAAAGGTGATTTCATTTCATATTTTCAGGCTCTGTGAATTATTCTCTTCCATTCTCTCTCTCCTTTCCCATACATATGAAACAGTGTTCTAAGCAGATTGAAGAATTCTGACCTAAAAGTTAAAGGGATTTGATTTATTCACTTGGGATGAACATAATAATGGACAATAAAATTTGTCTATCATATATATATATATATATATGAGCGAGAATGTATATAGAGAGGGAATATATCTATATACCTGTACATATATATATTTAGACATACATATATGCATTTAAATCAAGATTTCTGATGGTAAGTAACAGAAAACCCACTCTGTTTAGCTTCAGGAAGAAAAAAATATTTGGAAAGAACATGTCATTTACAGAATTATTTTAGGACCAGGCTTTGAAAATAGGCCAAGGCCTACAGTGGGCAAGGAGCTGGAGCCACAGTGAATCACCTGTTTAGGACAATTCCACGGACAATATAGAAACCACAGCCACTGGACATCTGTGGTCCTATAGCTGCCAGGCTGTCTATGTGCTGTCATCAATAATTTCCCAACTGTCCCTGGGTCTTTAAATCACCTACTTGAGAGTGGTATCCTGT